AGAGCGGGCGCTTCTCTTGCTTGGTGAGTCTCTCCCACCAGTTACTCTCTTTTTTCTGCACAGTGATGTTCAGCTGCCTTTGAGTCACCCTGCATACAGGCTGAGGGAAGATACAGGAGCATGCATCAGCAGAAGACCTAAGAAACAAGCTCTGAGACCGAGTTGATACCCAAGCTCTCCTTATCAAGGAGGCAGGGATGACATGGACTGCTGCAGCACAAGCATCTCCCTGCTGCCCAAGGCATGGAAGCAAAGGGCAGCCCAGTTGAAGATCGCAGCTGTGATGGCTGTAGGACTTGATAAGCAGCTTGAAAGCCTGCCCATACCGCACAGCACCATTGCATCCCACCACAAAGAGCTAGCACAGACCCTGGCACTAGCCTTCCTAGGCAGAACCTGCGATCTTGGCTTTAGACCTTCTCGCATCCAGTACCGTGAGCCACTCACTGTCTCTAGCCAGTGGTAAAAATAACACTCCCATCAGCCACAGGTCCCTGTCCACAACAGGGGACCTCATGTGACACCTGCTACAGCAAGAGGAAGAGCTAACAGCCTTAGGAAACACCTGGAGACAGCGGTGAGCTGACGGACCTGGTGGTGTGGTCGCTGCCACCCTACGAGGCCTCTCCACCACGGCCACATTCTGCATAATGGCAGCCCAGACCCCCTCCATCCTTACACAGCACTGTCACCTTGGGTGCCCACCCTCACTGCCACCATCGCAGCCCTCTGCGCCTCGAGCCTATGCCAGGGTGCTCTGCATGGGACGGCCTCTCAAACCAGCTGAAACCGATGCAGAAGAGCCATGAACCGCGCTCTTAACTGCGCACGTTACACTGGCACTGCTCTCTCAAGGCTGGCTGGATGCTCCTGGGACATCTGAAGGCTGCAGCTGTAATTTACAGCTACCAACGCCTGGTCCTTGCCTGCTGGAAGCTCCGTCTCTTGCTGGTGGCCGGCCTGGCACCAGAAAGAAGCATTCATGGTGCACATCAAAGCTAAAAGAGAAAACCCTGGACTGCAGGGTTTTCCTAGTCCCAACCATCTGTAGTTACGCAGATTTCACGGAGTCGATTCTCCTCCAGCCCCTCCACGGTGACTCAGAGTGACTAGACTTTTGGAAGGAGGCTGCTCTGCAGAGGCAAGGGCTCGCCTTCCAGGCCTGGCTCCCAGCACAGCCGTATCTGCCAGCGCAGGGGACAAGCGGTGGTGGGCACCTCTCCCCCCACTGTGGACCAGGCAGCTGCTGCTTTACAGGACAGCTGACAAACTGGTGACCAGATCCTGGAACCAAGAGATGTTCATTGTCTGCCACTGAATACCTGGTAGGAGCCACACAAGAAATCTGCCTGCTGACAGCAGCGTAGGGGATGCCTTTCTCCAGGAAAGTTTCGGTTCTACATCAATTTCGGGATGACCAGACCCTAGAAATTTACCCTCCGGCCCCTCGCTGTGTTGCACAGAGGGAACGGTCTCCTCCCTTGTTGAAGCAGCAGAGGTGAACGGTGGCTCCCAGTCTGACTGCAGCTATCCCCAACGGGCAGCCAGGAGAAAACAGCACAAATCCTGCACTGGGAGCAGAGCCCAGAGTTTTCCCCTGCCCCTAAGAGCTCTGAGAGGTAAAGACAGACTTTACAGCCACGTGCGAGTAACACGGAGGGGCTGCTCCTCCAGCCAAGCTCTCTGCTAGCAGACTACAACAGCAATTAAGAAAAGATTTTGCAATAGGAGCCGCGGCATATCTGTACTGGCAAGAGTGTCCCCTGCTCTCCAGTCAAGGTTGCATCAGACAACATGTTGCCAGGTTCTCCCATTATTTTGCCACTTTAAATCCTTAAAAAAATTACAACTACTGTTTAACAGCCGATACGTGTAAGGCCCTGTCACTATTAAAGCTGACCCATGCGAGCCCTATCTCCAGCGAGGTGATTTGCATTAAGGCAGGACGGTGGCTTAGCATGGGGACAGAGGACTGCCACAGACGGCTTTTAGTTTGCAGCAGTTACAGAATCACCAGGAAAATCCAAACGGCATATCACGGACTTTACGCACAGCCATTTTCAAGTTTTTCAAAAATTACTTTTTTCTTTGCAAGAGTTAGAAAAGTAAAAATACCTACTTTAGGCTCAACCGGTTCTAGGAACTCAATCTGAAATTCGTAGATGTTGTCCCCTTTGGCACCATGACCCTGAGCTAAAAGAGAAGAATTAACAGTCAGCATGAAGGTCCCAGCCAGTTCCGCACACCCCACCTGCAAAGGACGCTTTATACACAGAAATATTCAGCGGTTATTTACAGTGCTTCCCGCTGCCTTGCTGGGAGGCAAAAGGAAACCACACGATAACAGAGAAAACACAAACGGCCCAAAATGTTGCTCGGAGGTGCGGTCGCTGGAGTCAGCAGCTAAAGCTGCTGCAGCTCTGCGTCGTGCTGGAAAAGGGTCCTCGCTCACAGGAAGGCAGCGTGCACGCTTCCCAAAAAGAGGGACCCAAAAGGCTGCTCAAGGCTAACTTGAGACTGGAAGTCCCCTGTGCTGGACAGCCTTTGGGGGATCCAGCCTCCGCACTGACGAGCGAGCGCCCGGGGAGGCCCGTCTCCGGTGGGTCCGCAGGAACGTGATGTGGGGAGTCCCCTCCCAACGGCAGGAGGGCGCCTTCGTCTCTCATCTCCCGCATACGCAGGCCTTGCCCCTGGAAGGGCTCCAAAAACCTGCACGCTGAGTTTAATTTCCACCCTTCCACGCCGTAAACTGATCCTGAAGTGAACACAACGTGCAACAACACCCTATCAAATGGCCCTGGCTGTGGCTCACCAGGGCGGCAGCACCTCCTAGCCAACGCATCTTAAAGAAAACCACTAAATAAACGAGAAAACCCAAATAAAAACAGCTACAGTGTATCCTCAGCGCTACCCGGACAAGCTCCACGGTGCTGCAATGTGCAGCTGCCCGGCTGAAACAAAACCACCTTTCAGGAGATCTGCTTTACCTTTCAAATCGAGCGCTAGTTCCCGATGCGGAGGTTTGATAACAGTTGCAAACAAGGTCTTTGTGAAAGGAAAAATTGCCGTGCGTTATCTCTGGAGTTCAGCTGGGACAGGCCAGCAAAGACGTACGGAAATGTCACTGATATTTAAACGTGGGGAGGTTGGGCATTTTTTTCTTATTAGATAAGATACAACCTGCTGTCGTTATTAGCGCTGGAAAACCAGGGGCTGCAGGCGGGCGTGTGTCAGGACGTACGCGTACATGCCCGGCACCCAGCACGGAGCTCGGTCGCTGCCACCAAGGGCAGCGATGGGGCCCGGGCACCCCGCGGCTGCGGGCACCCCGGCCTCTCCCCCCGGGACAGGGCACAGCCGGGTGGGCCCGGTCCGGCGGGCGG